ATCAAAATCTCAGTTCGTCGAAATCAGAAGCTCAATTTCAAATTGTAGAAATCAGTTCTGCAACTCTCAGTTTGTCGACTTTTTTCCTCAATCCACCAATCAAAAAAGCGACAAAATATTCAACAAATTCAAGTCAAATTGTAGAAATCAATTCTGCCGATTCTCTGTTCTTCGTCTTTTTTTCTTAATCCAAAAAATCAAAAAAGCGACAAAATATTGAACAATACCTCAGCAACGACGCGCAATCATGTCCAAAATCCCAATCATGCTACATTTTAATGGCAATTGGGATAGCTATGACAGATTTAGAGATTTTCAAGTTGATGACATTGTGCTTGATGAGGATGCAAGTTACAATATGTTGATTTCTACAATTGCAGAGTAATTAATGATTGATACTTCGGAAAAAATTGTAGAAATCAAATACATTATGAATGAGAATTGTCCTCCAATGGAGATTAGGAACAATATGGGGGTTAGTGTGTATATGGAGACAAAAAAGGAGAATAAAAACTTAGGATCATATCCGTTACTCATAAGTGTACGAGATTTCAATATGGAATTGGCTATTACAAATGAGAACACAAGTGCAGGTTTGTTATGTTTCAAATTCTATGGAAGTCTGATTTTACGATAATATCTACAAAATTCCTACATTTATCTACAAATAAACTACAAATCAGTTTTAGGATGTATAAAGCAATATTGTTTTCATGCTTATCAATAGAATTACTACATTTATACTACAATTAAGCTACAATCCATGTTGAAAAAAAATTGACTACAAAATATTCTATTCATCTACAATTTATCTACAAAGATTCTATAAAATTGTATATGACACTGTTTATCTTTATTTTCATGCAGGTTCGTCTGGGACAATACAGTTACTTGATATGCCAGTCTCTCCCGTCATAGAGGAATATCAAAGTGAAATAATAACTAAAGGTACACAAAGTGTTATCGAAGAAGGACAAGTGTATCAAGACAAGCAAACAATTGCAACTGCAATGAAGCACTATTCTGTCATGCACAAGTTCCAATTCAGGGTTTAAAGGTCTAGCCACAGAAGGTATAAAGATATTAATTGTGAAAAGACCTTTATAAACAATATTTTCCTTGTGATATGTAGACGAATAGTAGTTATATTGTATAGTGTGTTACTTTATGTTAAAACAGTCATTTTGTTAAATCTACATTGATAACCTGTATTATAAATGTATTTTTTTATAGCTATTGGCTCATATGCGTTGCAGAAAACTGCAATCGGCACTTCAAGGCAACATCAATTAATGATTCTGCAATGTTCAAGATCAGGAGTTTCAACCGACAACACACATGCACCTTAATGGACGATACATTCATACAGCGCAAACGTACTGCAGTTGTAGTTGGTAGCATGGTCATGCCAAAGTATTGTGATTCTAAGACAGTTTACTCACCAAAGGACATACAAACTGACATGTTGTCCCAACATGGAGTGAACCTAAGCTACATGCAAGCATGGAGGGCAAAGGAAAAGGCTTTACAGTTATTAAGAGGTCATCCGGCTGACTCCTACAACAAATTACCAAAATATTTTTATATTCTTGAGAAGACGTATCCTGGTTCAGTTGTTAAATTGAAAAAGACAACAGATGAATGCTTCTTATATGCATTTGTTGCTTTTGTACATAAATAAGTGGTTGGGAATATTGTATACCAGTAGTAGTGGTTGATGGGACATTCTTAAAGATAGCCTACATGGGGATTATGCTGACAACAAGCACAATGGATGCAACCGGTAAATTGTAGTTATTTTGTAGGCAGTTTATAAATTATAGATACATTGTAGATATTTTGTATGTATGTATATATATATATTGTAGTTTATATGTATTTGTGTTTTCATATGTATTTTCAAATCTGCTAGTTAATTATTTTTTACTAATAATGTAGGTACAATATTGCCTTTGGCATATGCTGTGGTTGATTCGGAAAACGACGCATCGTGGAAGTGGTTTTTTGAGCAATTCAAGCAAGCATATGGTGAAAGAACTTCAATGTGTGTTGTTTCAGATAGGAATGAGAGTATCTTGAAGGCGATATCAATTGTCTATCCGGGCGTACCACATTACTCTTGCGTGTGGCATATTTGGACAAATATAAGGGCAAATTTCAAGAAGGGTCATCTAAAATTAAATGAATTGTACTTTGCTACAGCAGGGTCATACACTCTGGATGAATTTAATAAAAGGATGTCGAAGATTGAAGAGATAGGCCCACATGTTAAATCATACCTCTATAATATTGGCTATCATAGATGGTCAAGAGTACATGCAACGGTGAATAGAACTTGGACTATGACATCAAACATTGCCGAGTCGTTGAATGCTGTAACAAAAGAGGCAAGAGAGTTGCCAATATTTGACCTATTAGAGTATATGAGGACACTTCTTGAACATTGGACGAAAGAGAAGTTATTGAAGGCAAAGTGTACTTTCACATACCTTGGGTACAAATTCAACAAAGAATTGGAGAAAAACAGTACATTATATCAGAAACTTAGGGTAAGGTCTGTTTATTTGGTGCAGAAAATTAATTAATTAATAGACATTGTTTCCAGATTGTAGATAAATTGTAGTTAATTTGTAGATTGTAGATAATTTGTAGATATAATTGTAAATATATTGTAGATAAATTGTAGATAATTTATTTTTATGATTGTAAATATTTTTCTTTCTGTTTGTTATGTAATTGTAGGTAAGGGCTTCAACAGATCATATCCATACTGTGATAGATGGTGTGAAGCGGTACATTGTGTGTCTTGAAAGGAAGAAATATAGTTGTGGCCAATTCCAACTTGATGAACTTCCATGTCCGCATGCTTTGGTAGCTCTAAGGCACAGGAATGAAACTTATGAAAACTATTGCTCTTCGTATTACACAAGGGAGAGCCTGCTGCGTACATATGAAATACCAGTAAATCCCCTTCCTGATGAAAGCAAATGGAATGTGCCACAACATATATCTGATGAAGTAGTAAATCCACCTACGGGAGAGAAAAAGTAGCCAGGAAGACCTCAAAAGGAAAGATACAAAATATTGATGAACTAAAGTCAAAGAAGTACAAGGTGTCATGTGGCAACTGTGGAGGTGAAGGGCATAACAAAAGATCTTGCAAGAATGCACCCAAAAAGAAATAAATATTGTGTAGTTAGAATAGTATTTCAAAATAATTGTTAATGTGTTCAAGTTAACAGAATTTTGTGTGTAATCGTTTAAGTTTTGAAGATCATAATATAGTTAACTTCAATTTGTTTTTGTGTTTGTTAACATGTTTTTCTGTATTGTGTCAATCATCTACATCCATTTTTTACATTCTGTACATAGCAGTTAATATTTATTATCTACAATATAACTACAAGTTAAAAAAGATTAATGTAACTTGAACTGACAGTTATATACAGAAAGTAAATACAACTGGAGGTATTCCCTACAAATTATATACATATTCAACTATAAAATTATATACAATCTCAACATTCAGTTGTGACGACCCGGCCAGTCGTCTCATGAGTTTCCGTTTTGTTTCCCCCATTTCTGCTTCTTTATACTTCTTATCCGTGTTTTATGTGGTTGAGTTAAGAAGTTTGCATTCGGAGTGGATTTGGTAAGAAATGAGACACTCAGTCTCTTTTAAGAAGGTTTAAATTGGAAAAGTCAACCGGATGTTGACTTATGTGTTAGAGGGCTCAGATGTGAGTTCTGATGGTTCGACTAGCTTCGGGAGGTGATTTATGACTTAGGAGTGTGATCAGAATTGGTTTTGGAGGTCCGGTGTAGAATTAGGCTTGAATTGGCGAAGTTAGTATTTTGGCGATTCCCGGTTGATAGGTGAGATTTTGATCCGGGGGTCGGAATGGAATTCCGAGAGTTGTTGTAGCTTCGTTATATCATTTGGGATGTGTGTGCAAAATTTCAGATCATTCGAACGTGGTTTGGTTGGGTTTTTGATCGAAAATGTATTTCGGAAGTTTTTAGAAAATTTAGGCTTGAATTCGATGTGAATTGATGGATTTAGCATTGTTTGAGGTGTTTTGATAATTGGAGCAAGCTCGAATAAGGTATTGGGTTGTGTTGGTGCTTTTGGTTGAGGTTCCGGGGGCCTCGGGGTGATTTCGAATGGCTAACGGGAAGTTTTGGAACTTGAGTGATAACAGATTTTCTATTGCTGCTGGTGTTTTTGCACCTGCGGTTTGGGGACCGCAGGTGCTGTATCGCAGATGCGTGGTTTGGGTCGTAGAAGCGGAAAGGCTGAGGAAGGCCTGGAATCGCAGATGCAGAAGGGGGACCGCACCTGCGGAGCCGCAGAAGCGGCGAGTGGACCGCAGATGCGGTGTTGGTCCGTTAAATAAAATTCTGCAGATGCGAAGAAATGACCGCAGAAGCGGTACCGCAAAAGCGGCTATTGGACCACAGATGCGGTTATGTCTGGATAGAAGTATATATGTTTTTCTTCACGATTTTTTGAAGGGTTTAACCATTTTTTTACTTCGAACTTAGAGTTTTTAGGCGATTTTGAAGAGAGATTTCAAGGGAACTTCGATAAGGTAAGGATGTTGGACTTAAAACACACTTCTATGGTGGTATTTCATAAATTAGGACTGAAATTTAAGGAATTAATGGACTAAAAATGGAGGTTTAAGGCTTGAGTTTAAGAGGACTTAAATTAAGGATTTGAGGGGACAATTGAACTCCGATTCTGGTGTTTTTTGATATGTATGAACTCGTGGGGAGATAATGAATCTAATCTTGTGAAAATTTCTGAGTTTCGAGAAGTGGGCCCAGGGATCAGGTTTTGCTAATTCGGTATTTTTGATATTTTTCGATTGTTTTCGCTTGGGCTTTGTTCCCTTAGCATATTGTGACGTATTTATTCTGATTTTGGATAGATTCGACGGGCGTGGAGGCCGATTTGAGAGGCAAAGGCATAGCGAGCTAGAGTTTTTGTCGGTTCGATGTGAGTAATGAATGTAAATGATGTCCTGAGGGTTTGAAACCCCGGATTTTCACATCATAGTGCTATATTGAGGTGAGACACACGCTTGATGATGAGCGTGGGGTAGTTTACTATTGGGGATTGTGACTTGGTCCGTCCCGGGGGATGCTTTTACCGCGTATTTGATTAAAGCTTATTTGTTATCATCATTATTTGGACTGATTGCTATATTTGGGCTTCGTGCCAACTATTTGAACCCTCCGGGGAGTTTTAACACTATTTCCTCACTGTTTTGACTTACTACTTGAACTCAGTCGTACCGTTTTCCACTATTTTACAACTCAGCCACTTTTACTCAGTTCTAAAACTAAAATGATATATTAATTGATGTTTTGGGCTGAGAACTACTGTTTTACTAATTCCCGAGGGGCTTATATGATTTCTGGACTGAGTACGGCCAAGGGCTAGATGTGAGGATACTATGGGATAGGGCTGCGCGTCGCAACAATGTTATTCTGATATTGATATGAGGCCGAGGGCCTAGATTTGATGCCATGAGATGGCTTGATATTGTGCTTGGGCCGTAAGGAGCCCTTCCTGGAGTCTGCACACCCCAGTGAGCACCGTCGACGAAATATATAGATCGGGCTGCACGCCGCAGCGGGTACTATAGGGTACCGTTCTATTTGTTGATTTTTTTATATGTCTATCACTTAACTGCTTATTTGTTGTAGCATTACCATATTTCGTTTCCATTGGTTTATTGCTTTCATATTACTTGTTTAAACTGCCGCATTATAGCTTACTCTGTGTTTTTCCGTGACTTCTTATTCTCAGTCATTATTTATGTTTATTACTCACTGGGTCAGAGTACTCATATTACTCCCTGCACCTTGCGTGCAGATCCAGGTGTTCCAGAGGTTGAGTGAGGATTTTCAGTCGATCAGTTCATATCCGGGAGTATCGAGGTAGTTGCACGGCGTCCGCAGCCCGGATCTCTTCCTTCTATCCTTTCGTTTTATCCGCATTTCCTAGACTGATTATGTATTAGGCTGTTAAACTTGTACTAGAGGCTTGAGACTTGTGACACCGGATCTGTATGGGCTATGTAGTAGTATTATCATCTGAATTTCTGCATATTTAACTCGTTGTCTTAAACTCTTATTAGGGTGATTTAGCAATTTATCTATTTTAGCTGATAATGGTTTTCATAAGAAAACAGATTGAGGTTGTTAGTTGGTCAGGCTTGCCTAGCAGTGTGTTGGGAGCTATCACGACCGGGGTTGGGGTCGTGACATCAGTGTTTCCAGATTGTGGATATTTTGAAGTTTTTTGTAGATAATTTATATTCTAACAACATAATAACTACTTTTAAGATAATGAAGAACAAGTGCTGTAAATATTAAACAACTGCAGATAAAACCACCAAGTTATTTTCAAGTGAACTACTAAATTGGATAGAAATTAACAAAACAAAAGGTCTGCTACAATAAAAACACAAAAGAAATGTTCAGAAAGTTGTGTACTATACTTCTCCTACAAACTAGCATCAACTAAATTACATAGACATGACACTACTTCTTCTTTCTCTGGACTCTTATTTTCTCATTCAATGCAGGTGCACCCTTGCTTCTTGCTAGTCTGCCTGTAACCTCACTTTCACTAATTGACCCATCTTCCTGCTTCTGTGTAGCATAGTCCCATAGGAGTGCTCCATAGAGTCTACGATGTTGGTCAATATCAGAAAGGTCTTCTGCGGGAATTGACAAATCTCCAAGGCTAACATACTCCGCAAATGCAACAACAAATACACCACAATGGCTGCAGAAACACAAAGTTTTTTAAATATTTACCAAATATTAGAAATAAAAAAGAATTAAATGCATAGAAAGAGAGAATAGATCTTTTACAGTGACCCTTCTTTTTGTTATGGAATCTTTGCAACCATCCACTGAATGTTAAGAGGGTCGGTAACAGGATTCTCGATGTATGCCTTTGTATTCATGAAGTTAATGTCCTTACGCTTCCCATAGAAACCAGCGCATGACAAATACAAAGGGATAATAACAGAAAACCTTTCGACACAGGATTCAACAACATGATGGTTATGTGAAGAGATCATGGAATCATACGCATAAAGTTGCCTGTCTGCAATGTCGAAAACAACCAACACCCAATGGAATTTTTCTTTAGTATTGACGGGCATGATGACATAGTCAACTTCATCCCATGCAACATTGGCAAGTAGTCTATACCCCAAAATATATTCTGCAACAACATCTTGGGGTTTAACAACCGAATACTTCTCTTATGGAGGTGAATTTATGAACTTTTCATAAATTTGTTCTATCCTGGTCTTGAACACACAATCTGTTGTGGTAAACCTGGTCTTGTTATTGGGGCCATACTTGCCTCTTTTCCTCAAGTAATACATTATTACATTAATGTGCTGCACCCAAAAATAGTTGGCATATAAACAACAACTCAACTTCAAATAATCTACATGAAACCTACATTATAACTACAATTAACTACAAAAACATAAACAAAAAATATCTACAATGATGTCTAAAAACAGCTCTACAATTTAAACAAATTTATGTACAATTTACCTACTGTAAATGTACAATTTACCTACAGTTGAAGTACCTAATCTAAAAATAACTACAATTTACCTACAGTTACTGGGCAAACACGTAACACATCATCTACAATCATATTTACATTATATCTACATTTTAGACTACAATTAATCTTATAATGTTCTACATAAACTACAAAATAACTACAATTACACTACAAATAGCAAATACAACAATAAACTGTTCTGTCCACAAAATACATATAGAATTTATACTATAAATAATTTTCAAATATGATACATAACATGAAACCTAACTATTAATTACACTACATACAAGAAAGACAATATTTACAATCATGTCTACATCATATCTACACTTTATACTACAAGTCATCTTCATATATTATCTACAAAACAGAAGATAAAATATCTACAAATCATATCTTGGGAATAGACTCCTTGATACTTACCGAGTCAATGAGGACT